GGCTGGATCACTTACAGTTCAAATCCTGTTACCACAGGGAAATCAAATTGAGAAAGATATTTGAACTTTGGTCTTTCTCTCCAGAGGCTGCAGTTGATTGTGTTTCATTGTGTGTCAGTTTAGGGTGGCCCACAACTGAGAAGGAAGGCCATGTCCTTTGATAACTCACCTACATTTGACCTTAACATATTTAAGAACATGCTGTGAAATAGGATATTAGAATCTCTGTGACTGGTCTCTCTACTTGTTCCTGGGGGTGAGAAGGTTTGTTACATGAAATATGTTACATTTGCCTCAGTGTTCCTGCCAAAACCCTTATGAGGACAAAGTGGTTTATAAAGCATAATTTTAAGTATACGTCTAGCTTTTCATGCTGCAGTTTTATAATTAGCTTTGGAGAATTGGGCCCAGCTTTCCCAATCATATTTCTGCATTTTAGATGCATTCTCTTTCTTCCTTAAGTCAGATGTAGCAGCTGCATGTCTTTGGTAAGGATCGGTCTTCTTCAAAGGGAATTAGGCAGCTTTGCTAGACTAGCTGGCTGATTTGTCCTTCTGTGACCCAGAGTGAGGTTTATTCATCTGACTTCTAAGAGGCCTGACTAAAAGGATCCTTTTACAGGTTTGTCCAGAAACTCAATTTACATCTTAATAAACTCAGAGTCATGTCATGCTGTGTTGCCACCACATGGAGGACCACTGTGAAAGCATATGCTATTTGGGGGTATGTTGCTGAAATGTGCTGTAGGAAGAACTTTCATCGGTTCACTTGTGTTTTTCAACCTTATTCATCAAAATGTCTGTTGATATATAGGTTCATGTATTTATGTTTATATTTGCAAAGGATATTCCATACATGTAACTTTTATTCCATTTTCCTTTCTTATTTTCATATCTAAACCAACAGTGTGTCTAGAAATTATAGACAGATTGACATGTCTTTGAAGAAAAGTAATCAGCTAGGATTGATTTCATCTCTCCATCTTCTTTGGTTTGTACCTTTATAGTTTGCCTCTGAGAGGTGTTTTGCTGATGTTTGTTTTTGTTTTTGTTGTTTTTTGCTCTGTTGTTGGTTTTTTTTTTTTGTCATACAAGTTGATTCATATTTCTTTCCCTTGTCTCTTCTCACCTCCTCCCAGGTCTTGACAGAAGACTCCTTTGGAGGTTAGCAACAGCAAGTTTGTGTTACTTATATAGGAAATGTTCAACTATTTTTGGGGGGATGACAAGCCACATTTTCCTCCCTGACAAGGTTATTCACAAAGCTAGTTTCACTTACTTCCAGGTTGTTGCATCATTACAGTTAAAGAAGGGCGAGGAGATTTGTTTACTAAACCTTGGGCTCAGAAATTAGTGTATTTGTTCTAACAGGTCCTCTTAAACACCAAAACTTTTTTGGAGCCAATGTCAGTTATGTACTGTTTGTTGAGAGGGTTTCTTATAATAGGCATGTTGCCTTCACAGGTCTGAGAGGTCTACCCTACAAGTCTGGTCATTCCCCAAAGGTCTAGGATGACTCAGACAGGATGAGAAGTGGAAATACCGATGAGAAAATGCTCACCAGAAATAGAGTGCAAAAAGAGAGAAGCACAGAAAAATGAGTGTTTGCTTTGAAACAGAAACATGCTTGTTCTTCATCTGCTTAGTATCCTCATGTCTCCCTACCTATAAGCCAAAGTCTCAGGCCTGCCTGGCATCTAAGCCCTTTATGACCTTACCCCAGTACCCTAGACTTGTGCAACTCAGTTCTTGTCTTTGTTCCCAGTATTCCTTCTCTTTCTTTCTCTTTCTTTCTTTCCTTCTTCCTTTCTCTCTTTCTTTCTTCCTTCCTTCCTTCTTTCTTTCTTCCTTCCTTCCTTTCCTCCTTTCCTCCTTTCTTCCTTTCTTCCTTTCTTCCTTTTGTCAGTGGTGGGACTTGAACTAGGGCCTGGCAATGTCCCTGAACTTTTTCACTCAAGACTAGTGCTCTACCACTTTGAGCCACAACTCCACTTTGAGTTTTCTGGCAGTTGACTGAGATAAGAGTCTTACTGACATTCCTGCCCAGGCTAGCTTTAAACTGTGGTCCTCAGATCTCAGCCTCCTGAGTAGCTGAGATCACATAGGTGTGAGCCAGGCTGGTCCAGAGTCTGGTATTTGTGGCATTGGAAAGGAGGTTAACCCAGAGTCACTGTCCCATGACATGAACACTTACAGCAGATAGTAACTATAGCTAATGATTGTGAAGTGCTCCCTATGTGACAGGCACAGCCTCCTTCGACCTGACACAGCCATGCACAGTTAATCCTATGAGGCTCTCCTATCTTACATATAAGGAAACTAAAGCTCAAGACAATTAAACTGAAATATGACAAGACTGACATATGATCTTGACCACAGCTTTACTTTCCTTGCAGGAACGATGGGGAAGATAATACACTTGAAAATATTCTTTTAAATCTGAATGCCAATATTTAGTACTTAGCACAGTACCTAGCAAACATTCAGTATTATAATTCTCATTAGCCACACATGATATATATTAGGTATCTCAACTAGCAAGAAGCAGAGGATGTATTTGAACCATAGGTCTTTTCTAACCACAGAGCTGTGTCTCTATCCCTGATGCTCATAGACCACCCAAAGTGCTCCAGCCTTAAAATGCAAGGAAAACATTCATAGACACTTTGTCCTTTTAGCAATGAAAAGGCTCCCACTCTTTCCTTTCCAGGACTCTCTGGGGAAGCTTTAGAAAGTGGAAGCAAAGAGCTTTTACCAGCCCTGACTGCAGAACTTGGGAGGACAATGTGGGAATTGTTCACCAGCTGGGCAGTTTAGTCAAGAACCCACTCAGCAAACATTAAGATGTTACCAGCACCTCATTAGATTCCAGCGTTAATTATTTATTTCCCCAAAGAGAAAGAAGGTGTGGTACTAGCGTTCTGGGACTCAGTCATGGATCAGCTGGTTCCTTTGCTTATAACCTCAGGCAAGCCATTTCTTGTCCACCCAGTATGAGCTCCTGGTAAAGATGGGCCTTTATTCCCTTGCCTCCCTGAGTGGAGCCTTCAGGAACCAGAGACTTTTGAACAGCCCTAAGCCAGAGCCAGTGTTTCAGATACACACACCAGTGACTGATTCATTCAAAACGTATGCTTTCTTAAGGGATTAGCTTTTTGGAGGGTATTTATATTGACATGTTTAGTAACCAATTCCCAAACAAATCTAAGTCTGACAAAAATATATTTTTTACTGAACTAGAAGTTATTTAAAGATCTCTCTCTCTATGTACATATATAGAGAACTATTGTAATTATGGAATAACAATTTGGAAATGAAATTTGAACTGAGTTCTTAAAGGGAAGAAAGGCTCTAATAACAACTCTATCTCTGATGCTGTGCTATTTCCCAAGGAGAGACATACACAGGATTTGCTTTGAAGGCTATTGCTTTGTTTGTTTGTTTGTTTGTTTTCCAACTGTAATTTTTCTTTTCTTTTTTGGTACTTGGGACCAAACACAGGACATTGCACTTGCTAGACAACTGCTTCACCACTGAGCTACATCCAAGCCCAAAGCTATTGTTTCAAATATATGATTAAATACATTTTTATAAACATCTGGGTAAAGAGGTAAAGTCCTGCTTTCCCTACCCCTCTGCCCCATTTCCAGAGGCACACATCTAATGAAATAAACTCACAGCCTAATCTACATCATCAACACCCTGGTTTTCAGTTCTTAGTGTACATTTGAGAAGGCAAAGAATACTGATTCATCCTTGCCCTGCTCCTCTGTTCACTCAACAAAGTCAGAATCCTCAGGAGCAGGTTCAGTTCCATCTCTCTGGACTTCTCCTACCTTCAGTAGCTTTCATTTTTCAACAAAACCATACTGAACCTAGTGTTACTGAGCTGGAGGGCTGCATGTGTTTGTTCACAGTTCATCTCTGAAATGCTACCACGCTCTACTCTCTTGCACTCACAGAGTTATGTGTTGGGACAGACTTGTCTGTATGCCCAGGTGTGTGTAATTGCCCAACTGCGTTGTGTTGTTCCACCAGCAATAAAAATCCAGCAGGGAAATGAATGCTAAAATTAGTTTGTTTGTCCTTTGACAAGCTCTCCCCAGTTGAAAAAAAAAATGTATTTATCTAACTAGCTGGGCAGTCTTTGTGCAGGTCAAAATTAAGTGCTTTGGTTAATGGTGCAGGAGATTGTATTTTGAAGAGCTTCTACCACATTCTCCTTGAAAAGACATTTGAGGGGAAAGAAAATCAGTCCTTAGCAAAGTTAGTACACTAGGTGTAGGTTTTTCATTTTTTTTTATCTCCCTCCTTGTGCTAATTGCATAAGCCCACTTCTGTATCCTCTATGTGTTGGATTGGTAGATGTGTAGACAGATGACTAGATAGACAATGGGTACAGTGGCAGACAATTTGATATGCCTTATGTGTCAAGTTTGCTAACATTTCCAAGGAAAATACTGATAGCATTGTCCTTACAGAAAGTATCTAGTAAACTTTACCTTATGGCTGCTGCTTTGTGCTTCATTTAGTCATGTGTTTATTCATTCCACAAAAGGAGTATTTAACATGTACTTAGAATGAACTAGGCATGTGGGATATAGATTTGAAAGCAAGAATAGTCCCTGAGAGCAATGGAAGAGGTAACATTGGTCAAGATGCATTCTACTAATAAATTGGTATGTTGAATTAAAACCCCTTTGTACAACTACTTCAAGATCTTTTTTAAAAATAAGATGAAAAAAAGAATAGTCCCTGCATTCAAAGAGCAGCATTTTTTAAAAAAGCAATTATACAAGTCATATTTAACAGCTGCTGCAATCATTTCATATTTGTTTATAGTGAAATATAATTCATATGCTATAAAATGCAAAGTATAAAATTGGATTGTTATTGTATCATTGGATTTTCATATATTTCTAGGATACTTTGTGTTTTTAAAAACACAAACCAATTGAATAAAAAAGTCAGATTGATCTACTGTTTTTGTCTGCACAACCACAACACTGGGCTTGGTTTATTGAACAGATTTTTCACTGTGATGGCGTTGCATCATCTGTGGTTGCTTATGCCCTAAAGGGAGGAGGAAAGAGACATTAGGATGTTCAGTGCAGAACTGGAGGAGAGATCTACCCTAAGGAAAGATGTGTTGACCTCTGTTGTAAGCCACTATCACATATGGTGGCTCCAGTAAGCATTTTCTTTTCTGCCCCTTACTTAGCCTTGCTAGTTCTGGTATCTTCCACAGCATCTCACCGTTCTATTCTTACAGGAATATACCTTAAGAAGGTCTCTAGCTAGAGTTGAAAGATAGAAGCCTCATATATACCTCATATAAATTATGCCGACATGCAAATACCAGAAAACTTCCCATGATTTAGTTTTAACTGACTGGGTAAAAAAAATGTCTCACAGAGATTTTTCACTATATATTTTTGGACTTGAAATATGAAATGCTTGTTATTACAAGAAACATTGCTGAGTAAGTTAATGGGACCCATATAGGGATTGGGCAATCTGAATTGGATTTCTAGCTTTACCCAAATTTTGCTTTAATGTCTCGTTTTCTTGTGAAGATGAAGCTGACCTCCTTTCTGAGGTCTGCAAAGTAGTAAGGTAGATAGGTTGCAGGTAGAGGTTCGCAGATTAGTAAAAAGAATTTACCAAGCTGGTGGTATGGCTCAACTGGTAGAGTCCCAGCTGAGCAGGCATGAGGCCACGAGTCCAAAAGCAAATAATAATAAGAAAGCAGATGTTATCATCCTAACTACTCAGGAGACTGAGACCTGGAAGATAGCAGTTCAAAGATATCCTGAGCAGAAAAGTCCATGCAAGATTCTATTTCCAATTAACCAGCAAAAAGCAGGCCAGAGGTATGGTTCAAATGGTAGAGTGCTACCAAAAAATTATGACAAAAGAGAAAAAGAGAAACAAGTTTATTAAAATGCTAGTACAAGCCGGGCGCTGGTGGCTCACGCCTGTAATCCTAGCTACTCAGGAGGCTGAGATCTGAGGATCACGGTTCAAAGCCAGACCGGGCAGGAGAGACCATGAGACTCCTATCTCCAATAAACCACCAGAAAACCGGAAGTGGCACTGTAGCTCAAGTGGTAGAGCGCTCGCCTTGAGCTGAAGAGCTGAGGGACAGCGCCCAGGCCCAGAGTTCAAGCCCCACGGCCGACAAAAAAAAAAAAAAAAAAAAGCTAGTACAAGAAAGGAGGGACAACTAGGCAGAGGGGTGTAGCCCTGTAGATGGTGGTGTTAGTACCACTGCTGCTCCTCCTGCTGCAGCTAGTACTGCACAGACAATTCACTTCCTCCTTCTAAAATAAGGATACAGGAGTGAAGTAATGCTATCTTGGCATCTTAATAAAAGTTAATAGACAATGGGGACCTTCTGAGAACTCTAGAAGTGATAGAAGACATTCTTTTGGTTGCAAATATGTCTTGAGTTGTTGAGTTCCAGGAAACTCACGCTCCCTCTAGATAACTGGGATTCAGATTGCCCTTTCATATTCTTCTGGATTGTCTGCTCTGTGTATGACACTTCTATTAAAAAATAAGTACCCTCGTCTGGCTTGCTTTGTTTTATGTGTAACACTTTTGTTAAGGCTTGGTCTCTATCCAAAGCATGTAGTTCTTGTCTCTAAAAGCTATGTGCTAGTTCTGTTCTCGGCTGAAGATCTTTGAGACAGGAGTCCATCTGCAGACCACCAGTGCTCTAATAAAGACTCCTGATTTGACCTCTCAAAATGTGGCTTCTCTGTTTTCTCGCCATACAACACTTCCACCTTTTCATGCACTTGACTCATCTGTATTCCATCTGGATGTTGGTATTTCTCCATCTACCATGTCCCCTTAAGTGAGAGTTTCCTTCACACTTTGGACCTGAACACTCTCCTACTAGTAGCTATTTTCCTAGGGCTTATCTAATTGGTGGGCAATCATCCATTAATTCTAAAAGTTCCAGAAGCACTCATTATCTTGGACAATACTGATTCCATCAGAAGACAACTTTGGAACATCACCAGTAGATTTGGGAAAGAGTAAATTAGACTAATGTTCTTCACAGAGTTTGTGACCAGCTCCTGAAGACATCAGAATCACAGATGAAATTCACCATTGTAAATGTTTTAAGACCACAACAATCACACTACTGCCTGCCATTTATCTACTCTTACATAAATCTCAATATACGTTCTTCTTCCTTATCTCACTCATTTTCACATTTTCCTTGTGATATCCCCACTTACTACAGGCAATGAGATTCCCAGAAATTAGATAAGAAGAGCAGGACCCAGAAAAGTGACTTGCCTGTGATGGGAAAGGTGGCTCTTCTCTCCTAGATCCTTTATTATTCTTTCACCCCCCAAAGCTTGCCTGCTTTCTCCTCTGAACTATTCTGTGATAGTTTTTCCTATGATTTGCTAATGACTTGTCAGTTCCATTCTCATTACTTAGGTGCACCTGCTGACATTAAAAAGTATGTCATGAGTACATTTGGCAGTTAATTTTATTCACTGTCTCCCTTCTGTTTCATAGATTCCTGTGAGTTTGGGTTAATTAAGCTGAGTACTTTTTCCTTCTCCCTTACTCCTCCTCCTACTCCTCTCCCTCTCTCCCTCCCTCTCTAAACAAACTGGTGATTCTCTAGGTGAATCAGCAGTGGAGGTTTCCTGGGGCTATGAGCCTCAGGAATCCTCAGGTCCTTCCCCAGTAGAGCCCAGGACCATATGCAGGGCTTCTGGATACCAATGACAAGACTGTGCACAGTTGCTTTTGAGTATATGTATATGCATCATCCTTTTCTTCTTTAAAAGGTATATGACCGATGGTGGGCTTGGCCTCTATACCCGTCGCCTGAACCGGCTCCCCGATGGGATGGCTGTGGTACGGGAGACCCTGCAAAGAAATACCTCCCTGGGCCTTGGAGATGCTGACAGGTAAGCTTGCTGCACTTGGGGTTAAGATATAGCAGTAATTCCATGGGGACTGAGAAGTGAGGGTGTGTATTAGGAGGGTGTGTATTAGGAAAGTGTAGCCCAAAGAGAGGTAGGGTAATCTGAGCCTGCACAGTAGATAAAAGGACTGCTGCCATTCCTGGGTGCTTTGTTTTTGTGTAGGATGGTATGTGGTTTTGTTGTTTTGTTGTTTCTGCTAATACTGAGGAATTGATCCCAGGCCCTTACACATGCTCACACTGAGCTACATCCCAGTCCTAGAGTGGTGTGTTCTGAGAATAAGAACATAGAATTCCACCTTAGGTAGTTTTGTTGTTGTTTTGACTGTTGCTACCTACCTCTGTCAGCTCCGTAGGCCCCAGGGATCCTTCTTACTTCCTCTCTCATTAGTCAGCTTTCTAGGTATTGCACCTTGTAACCACCCAGATCTATGTGCAGAGAGGAGTGCTAGCGTTGGCTGAGTAAGCTTTGCCATAGGGCTTTCTGTTGCCTAGTAACAAGAGGCAAGGCTTACGGATGCAGATCCATACAGCACATACTGAGTAAACTGACATTCTAAGGATGATTCCGGCTTTATGGATGCCACTGGCAGAGACCACACTTCAGTGAAGAAAGAGAGCTATTTGGCCTCCCAGTTTTTAGAATTTACTCTGACATACACTGATTCTATGACCTTGAACAACTATTCAAGGAAGAATTTGGACTGCCTGATTTCCAAGGTCCCTGCCAACTCTAGTACACTACTGTATTTCTGGATAACAGAGCGGATCAGATGTCAAATACTCTAGTGATCTGACTGTTCAATGATTTTTCTGGCTTACTTCTTTCTACATCTGGACTGATGAGACATAACTGAGATAAGCATGGCTCAAAGTAACTAAATACTTTTAGGGTGCTCAGGTTTTGTAAAGCGAATGAGTAGCATGAGTTCACCTCCCTGCTGCTTCCTAGCAGAGCATGCTTTTCATAAAGATCTGGATGACTTGTGTAGTTCTCTGGCTTCAGAGAAGCAGGGAGTACGTTGAACAGATACTAAAATCACACCCAGAAATGGAATTTGCTGAAGAGGAATATTCATTCTCCCTAGGGGAGGGCTGGAAAGCCTGGGCTGTAGAGAGATCTAGATTATCAAGAACTTGGGATCTGGCCTCTATCATTGAGTCCTGACTCAACATGAGTCCTCAGTTCATAAGGTGGTCATTTATATTACAGATAGCAGAAGGCTATCTATTAGCGTTCTAGCTCAACACAGCTTTTCCCCCCTATAATAAATGAAAATACTAGTAGAAAATTCCATAGAAACAGCCATTTGAGACCTGCTCTTTCTAAGCTGTCAACTTTTATGTAACTAAAATCTTTATAGTGAACATTAACAGTAGGAAAAAAAAAACATTGTTATAATACCCCCATCGTTGATTTTATAATTTACCAAATTATTCTGCTTGTTTGTGTTCTCCTGTAATCATGTAGTTGGTTTATAAATCTGTTAGTCTAAGTACAGGCCTTCCAAAATGAATCCCCCTGTATAGCAAAAGAAGAATCCAGGCCTGGCAGTTTAATTTAATGCTTCACTGCTAGGTTAATGGAATTATGATGGATCACAGCTGAGCTTGTTTCTGTGTTTTGGAGATAGAAGATTTGGGAGTGATGCCGGAAAGTTAGCACTTCTTACACTGTCTTTGTTCAAGCCTGTGTGTTTGAATCACATGGACAACAGTATCTTTTTGATCCTTCTCAGACTAACATATTAAGGTGTGATCATTTAAGATTAAATGGTTAACTAACTAAGTTTTACTGAAAGACTTCAAGATGGATTTGGCCTCTACACTCATCTTTATATAAATAAATAAGGTTTAATATTAATACACTTCTTTCTATTTTATTTAAGTTCTGACTTGTAGGCAAGGAAATATTTTACATTGCTCTAGAAAATGATAAATTTCTTTCACCTCCAAAGTTACTATGAACAGACCACACTGATGCTTACAGAAATGTATTTGTTTATATAGAGTTATATAGAGTTTCTGTAAAGCTGTCTATGTAAACTTCTTACAAAGAATATATTCACAAAGTAGGAGGCTCATATTGGCAGTATAGAAATAATTTTAGATGATGAATAAGAAAATATTTCTCTCTGCCACTTATATTTTAATTTACTTTTATTATTTATTTTTGTGCTGTTACTGGGGCTTGAGCTCAAGGCCTTATGCTCTTGCTTAGTTTTTTCAATCAAGGCTGGTGCTCTACCACTTGAACCATACTTCCACTTCTGCCTTTCTGCTGTTAATTGGACATAAAACTTTCTCAGATTTGTCTGACTGGGCTGATATCAAACCTTGATCCTCAGATCTCAGCCTGCTGAGTAATTAGGATTATAGACATGAGCCACTAGTGACCAGTTAGTTATATTTTAATTTTTTAAAGTTATAATTAGCACATCAAACCCAGGAAAATAGTTCTTTTTTGTGCCTGTCCTGGGGCTTGAACTCAGGACCTAGGTGCTGTTCCTGAGCTTTTATGCTCAAGGCTAGTGCTCTACCACTTGAGCCACAGCTCCACTTTTGGCTTTTTTGGTAGTTAGAGTTACTTTCTTATTTGGACTAGCTTTAAACCATGATCCTCAGATTTCAGCCCACTCAGTAGCTAGGATTACAGACCTGAGCCACTAGCACCCAGCAAGGAAAATATTTCTTAAGGTAAGAGTAGTATGGAATATGAAATACTACAGATCGTAAATATGCAAATGACTATAATTTGGATAATACTATTCTTGTTCTTGTAATTAAAAGATATGTTTTTTTAAACAACTAGACAAGTGACCAGAATTTGTCCCTTACATAAAAACAAGGGTTCCTAAAAAAGAGTTCCCTAAAAATACAAGGGTTCAAGAGCTAAAATATTTCAAGAAGTTCAAGAAATCCCAATTTGTTTGGACAACAAAGCATATAAGTTCTACAAAGGAAATAGCGAAAGTACTGAAAGATTAGGCCTGATTAGACCTCATTAAGAGGAAGACAACATTAAAAAAAGTCACAGCACCTTGTGAAAAGAAAACCATTAACCAAGTAGCAGCTCAGGAGGATAGCGGCTATTCCTTAGGCCTTAAAAAAGCACTCACTTCCCAGACAAACCTTGGCTATTTGTAACAAGATATGGCCGGGGTATCTTTGGGTTATTAAAAGTAACTGATAGGACTGTATACCTTTAGGGCCCAGGAGATAGAGACCTTGTCAGTTTGTGAGCCCTGTATGTCACCAGCCGGCTTCTGAGAAATAATAAACATAGATAGGTAATTCTAAATGCCAAGTTTGCCCTTGATCTCCTGTCACTCTGCTTGGTTGCCACCTCTGGGCTCCAGTTCTTTCCTGATAGTGATCAGTGGCCCCTTCCAGCAGACTAGATCCAGCCATCTGAGAGAGAAGGATCAAAAGGAACAAATGGAGGAGCCTCATCATGAGTCCTAGACCCTAGATAACAGACAAATGAAGGACACATTGGGAGGAAAAAGAAATATGAAAAGCAGGGCCAAGAGACTGGGCTGACAATAAAATAAAGTTTGTTGGATTCTGCCAGTTTCTACATGTACTAGGGTACCCTTAGAACAGGTCCAAAGTCTTTAAGCCCCAGTGAATTAGGTGCTTTGAAAGCTAAAAACTTCAGCTTTGGGGAAGTCTCCACTTATGAATACATTTCTCAGTCACTCCAAAGCATCACTATGTTCGCTACCCTATACCAGCCTTGTACCTTAACATGTTGAATTGAACCTTGACAGTTGAATTCTTCTCCTAACTGGGATCCCAGAGTGAGGATCACAGAAGTCAGGCTCAGTCTGCACATTAGAACAGGAGGACTTTGGAACTACTTGGTAACTTTCTCCAAATCATTAATGCTGATTCAGTGGCTTTTTCTTTTTAAATAAACTGAGATTTAAATTTAGGGCCTTAAGCTGAGGTTAGGGCTAGGGCAGGTGGTCTACTACATGAGCCTCTCACTCCCCCAGCCCTTTTGCTTTCATTATTTTTCAAATAAGGTCTTGTATGTCACCAGCTGGCTTCTGAGAAATAATAAACATAGATAGTTAATTTTAAATGCCAAGTTTGCCCTTGATCTCCCGTCACTCTTCTTGGTTGCCACCTCTGGGCATTTTTGCCAGGGCTGGCTTAGAACACACTTCTATTTATGCTTCCATCATAGCTGAGATGACAGGAATGTACCACCACATCCAGTTTTTAACTGGTTGAGATGGGGGCGGAGTGTCTCGTGAAATTTTTGCCCAAGTTTGTTTCAAACTGCTATCCTTAGGACCTCAACCTCTTCAATAAGTAGGATAATAAGTGTAAACCACTGTACTTGACTCCCATTGTTTTTAGTAATTTGGGCAGTGAAGCCACATTACTTTAAACCTACCAAAAACTAGCGGAAAAAACAACAACAAAATGTGGTATAAAGTTAGCCTGGGGCTGGAAATGTGGCTTAGGGGCGGAGTGCTTGCCTAGCATGCATGAAGCCCTGGTTTGTATCACATAAACCAAAAGAGCCTGAAGTGGTTCTATGGCTCAAGTGGTAGAGAGCTAGCTTTGAGCAAAAAGAAGCTCAGGAACACTGAGTTCAAGGACCTGAGTTCAAGCCCAGAGACTGCAAAAAAAAAAAAAAAAAAAGAAAGCCTGTAGGTAGGTGTCAGTGGGTTACACATATAATCCTAACTACTCAGGAAGCCAAGATCTGAGGATCCTATTTCAAAGCTAGCCAGTCAGGAAAGCCTGTGAGACTCTTATTGCCAATAAACAACCAAGAAAAGCTAGAAGTGGAGCTATGGTTTGAGTGGTAGAGTACTTGCCTTGAGCAAAAAAGCTTAAGGACAGTTCTCAACTCTGAGTTCAAGCCCTAGGACTGGCACATACAAAAAAAAAAAAAAGAAAGGAAGGAAGGAAGGAAGGGAGGGAGGGAAAGAGGGAAGCAGGGAGGGAGGGAGGGAAGGAAAGAAGGAAAGGAAGAAGGAAAGGAAGGAAGGAAGAAAAGAAAAAAAAGAAAGAAAGGAGAAAGAAAAGCCCGAGACCTCAATGTAATTAAAACTTCCCTCCAACATAAAGGAGAAACTGGTTTTCCCCTTTATGCTACAAGTGTTAAATCACCCTCCAGGTTACCTATGTGTGAGGCATTGAAATCCCTCTTTTAGGAAAGGATTGAGTCACCAGTCTGACTGCTCAGCCTGCATTTGGGGTCCTGCCCTGGCGCTGTGATTTATCCCACTTTCAGCTTGAATTGAAAGGCCACTCTAGCACTGAGTCCCACTGTGTGAGGGGGTAACTATGCAACCTGGTATTTGATTAGTCTGCCAAGCTAAGACTGCTCCCTTTACTAACCTACTCCCCCTTCCCTCCCTATACTTCTTACCCAGAGTATCACTGCTTCTGCTTGGCTTTGTGATTTGTGAGGAACTAAATATCCTCCTGGCACCAGGCAATGCAGGCAGAATGGGTAGGGAGTATGCCAGTTGTTTTATTAGGCATAGTCTTTGCTGGGACACATAGAAGAGAAGGAGCAGAACTGTCTTCTGTTATAAGCCCTCAGTAGGTGTGATAACCATCCCCAAGTATCTACATGTCTGAGTCTCTAGAATCTGGGGATGTAGTGTGTTATATAGCAAATGGGGATATGGATAACATTATATAGGGAGATTAATTACCTTGGATCATCCAGAAAGGCCCTATGTGATCATGAATTCCTTAAAAGTAGAAGAGTCAGGGGCTGAAGGCCTGGCTCAGTTGGTAAAGTGCTAGCCAATGAGCAAAAGAGTCAGCTGCTGAGTTGGAGATCCAGTCTTTCTTTCTAAAAAGAAAGAAAGTAGAAGAGAGAGGCAGAAGGGCTCAGTGTGCTGTTGCTGACCTTGACAATAGGGAAGTATCCTTTGGAAGGGATGAGGCAGAGTAAGTACTCCCCTCCAGAAATGAATGCAACTTAGCCCAGAACCCTATTGGAACTATGAAATAATATTTTATATTTTTAGTAACTGTTTATATTCATTTGCTACAACCACAATAGAAGCCCAATACAAACTTTTATCAGTTAAAAAAATGTTACAATTTTCTCATGGTTTTTGGTATGCTAGGAACTGTGCCAAGCACCTTACAAATAATAGCTTATTTACACCTTGTCTGGACCCTCTGAGAGAACATATTATCTGGGCTTTGTAGACAAGGCAGTGGTACTCAGAGAGGCTTAGTGAAGGAACTCAAGGTTACACAAGCTGAGAAGAGAACCCCAGGCCCCTCCTTGTGGAGGTATTTTCATTTCCTTATTCCACGCCCTAATCTTGGTGATAACTTTTTAAATGAGCCCTCCACTCACTAAAAATACAAATGATGCTCAAATGGCTAGAAATGTGAGAGCAATCCTGAAATACACCGTAAAGCATAAGAGGAATAGTTTCTGGCTCATCTCTCCCTAACCCAGAATTCTTACAGGTATATACTTTTAGGTTAGGTTAGATTTGCCCTCAACCAATTCCATCAGTAACTTACTTCCTTTCCTTTCCTTTCCTCTCCTCTCCTCTCCTCTCCTCTCCTCTCCTCTCCCCTCCTCTCCTCTCCTCTCCTCTCCTCTCCCCCTCCTCTCCTCTCCTCTCCTCTCCCCTCCCCTCCCCTCCCCTCCCCTCCCCTCCCCTCCCCTCCCCTCCCCTCTCCTCTCCTCTCCTCTCGTGTCCTCTCCTCTCCTTTCCTTTTCTCTCCTTTCCTTTCCTTTCTTTTTTCCTTTTCCCTTTCCTTTTTCCTTTTCCTTTTCCCTTTCCTTTTTCCTTTTCCTTTTCCCTTTCCTTTCCTTTCCTTTTTTTTTTTTTGGGGGGGGGGGGGTTGGGAGGCTTGAACTGAGGGCCTGAGCACTGTCTCTGAGCTTCTTTTTGCTCAAGGCTAGCACTCTACCACTAGAGCCACAAAACCACTTGTAGCCTGTTCTGTTTACATGGTACCAAGGAATTGAACCCAGGACTTTGTACATGCTAGGCAAGTACTCTACCACTAAGCACATTCTCAGTCCCCCTTTCTTTTTTCCTCCTTTCTCCTTCCCCTTCTCTTTTGCTGGCACTGAGTTTTGAACTCAAGACATGCTTATCTGGCCTCTACCAATTGAGCTATTATTCCAGTGCCAAAGATTATAACTTTTTAATATAAAGGTGGGCCAGTTTATTCACTGGTCTCCTTGGGAGAGTTCTGTTTGTAAGGTCAGACTAACTGAAGTTTTTTTTTTTTGGAGGGGGAGCGGGGGGGGGGGGGGGGGGGGAAGAAGGGGGTCCGGTGGTGGGGCCTAACTCTGGGCCTGGGCACTGTCCCTCAGCTCTTCAGCTCAAGGTTAGCGCTCTACCACTTGAGCCACAGCGCCACTTCTGGCTTTTTTTTTCTTTTTGCTTATGTGATGCTGGGGAATCGAACCCAAGGCCTCATGCATGCAAGGCAAGCACTCTACTACTGAGCCACCTTCCCAGAAACCTTCCCAAAACCATGCAGTTTTGTTTTTTAGGTGGAGGATTTTCTAGGATTTTCCTAGGAAAATCCAGGACCATCAAAATATATACAGATAAAATTTTGTCTTTCCTGATATTGGCTTGGCCTCTGTATTAATCACTATCTGTTGCTGTGATAAGACACTTGAGCAAATCCCTATGAAGTGAGGTCTATGGTCAGTAGGCTCCATTGTTCTTAGACCTGTGGTAGGCAAAAACATCCTGGTAGGAGAAAATACATGCTCACCTAGTGGCAGCAGAAAGCAGAGAAAGATGGGAAAGAGCTATGGACAAGATATAAAGATATAACCACCAAAGGCATGTTCCTACTGACATATTGCCTCAATCAGGCCCTATTTAGTATGAACACATCAATGGATCAACCCATGGAGTAGTTAGCACCTCATGATCTATTCACTTTTCAATAGCACCACTAGCTAGAGTCCAAGCATTCAAAAACACACAAGCCTCTGGGAATTATGTTTAGAGTCACACCATAAAAGCCATGGAGTCAATTTCAGGGAGTTCCCTCCCCTAGTGCCTGGAGGTCTTCCAGATGCCAGAAAATGTTTCAAGGAGCACCCTTAAAAAAAAATAAAAGCTCCTCTCCTGCTGCCTTCTCCATTTCTGTGTGTATTGTTCAGTCAGTTCCTAATTTTGCCATGATCACCAAGAGCAGCATGACCCCCATTTGACCATTAATCCATCTTCATACATCTCTGATATTTGAGCCCTACCAGTGGTAGTAGTAAGAAAATAACC